TCTTCCCAAGAAAGCAGGTATGCATATGTTTTTATGTTGTGACTTTTTATTGCATACGAGTAATTAACAGATTATTTTATTTTAGATATTTGAATATCTTCAATTTTACTACTTATATATGATTAATTCTCTTCAGAAGCAATTTGAAGTATGAATCATTTTATGTTTAATGTTAAATTGATTGGATATTCCTTAAAACTAACTAATTCAAAAAAAATTAATTTTTTTAAAAATTCAATTTACATTAACAAATTTTTTTTTTATTTTTTCACATGACTTCCTTCAAATCAGAACTACAACAAAGAATTACTGGGGAGTAATTATGATTATCTATTTTATTGTATTGCTTTAGTCTTGTCTACTTAAAATGAAATTTGCTAATACCGGTCAATTTGTAATAACCATTCAATATTCATAAATAACTAAATACATGCAGCAATCTTTAAGGAAATCATTCCCATAGGAAATTCCTTCCTAAAACTTATATAAAGAAGTATCAAGCTTTATGCATTTCAATATCAAACTATTAATTAATGAAATTCATCAAAGTTAATTTGGTGATTGATATGAAATGCAAAGAACCTATTGCCAGATTCTTCAGACAACGGTTCTTTCACGCACCTAAAGTGAAGACAAAATGTAAATTCATGTCAGTTCTTGCTTGTTGAACAACTTTTCTTCAAACCATTGAAGTCAAACTTTCATTTTCCACCTGCCACTTGATGTTGAATCAACTTCTTAACATACAGTTAAATCCAAAAAAAATGTACATCTATCATCTTACATGGTACTAATCTTAAGAGTGCATGAATAGGTCTGCTTCGTTGCGGGAAGAGCTGCAGACTTAGATGGATGAACTATCTCCGACCTGATATCAAGAGAGGAAACATTGGTCCGGAAGAAGAAGATCTCATAATTCGTCTTCATTGTCTCCTCGGAAACCGTTGGTCCCTCATCGCAGGACGCCTCCCCGGTCGCACAGATAATGAAATCAAGAACTACTGGAATAGCCACCTCAGTAAGAAACTCAAGAAGCAAGGCTTCATCATAAGAGAATGTACACCAAGACCTAAACGATCAGGTGCACCTAGCTATCATAAGAAAATAAAGTGCACCAACAACAAATTTGCTGAGAACATACAAAACAATGATGCGGATGAATGTAACAAAATATATGCACCCAAGCCTACAAGGCTTAAGCCGTGCTGGTCAGTGATGGAGAAAAGTGAGAGCACGATAGGAGAGTGTAAGAAGGGAACATCAGATGCGAGCAGTGGAACTAATGATGTGGATTGGGCATCATGGACGCATGAAGATCATGTAGAGGAATTTGATCAAACGGCTGGTTTGTTTGAAGGTCCTTATTTGGATTTTGCTTCTGATTTTTCCATGCCAAATATTGAATCACTTGATAGATTATTTAATGAGTACTCACAGCTCCTGCAGTTGGAGGTTGATGTGTAGATGAGACACAATTGCGATAATCTATATGGCTGTATTTAGTGTATGCAAGCTTCTATTTGATGATTTCCAGCGTTAAGTTAAATGTTCATGTGACTGAAAAATGTACTCAATATTGATCAAACTATTACGATGTTAAATATAACTGGTAAATGGAAATATATGAGGATTTTAAGAGTGGAGTATGTATAGTTTCGCTAAGTTAATTTTATACGATAAAAAGACCCTTTTGTGTTTAAATAAATTTTATTAGATGACAAAAACTAAAATTTTCTGCGCGTCATATGAAATGTGAGAACTCTCTCTCTCTCTCTCTCTCTCTCTCTCT